GAAGCTAGTTCTACTCTGTCCTATAGGGTCCAAGAAGTAACTTAGTAAGTTTCTGCCGATAAAGTCTATACCTACCTCAGAAAGTCTTATACTGAATAAGACAAGACTGACTCTGACAATAAGAATTCCAAAAAGGCAAAGGGCTTCATTCTCAATTTCTATTTGATAATGAAGCTCATTAGAGTTTCAGTTTTTTCCTTTACTGTGGGACTTAGAAGATAATTTTAGGCTAACTGGACATTAGTTTTCCTCAAATCATAAGTCCCGGCTGGAGTACCTACCTACTTCATATAGATATATCAAATCAAACCACGAGTGAGTCAATATTTCTGTTATTCTCTGATTGCTACCTCTTATTCAAAATTGGCTTGAAAAAGGAAAGACATGATGAGAGAATCTGGAACTGTGAATTGGTTAAGTGTAGGGCTTGGATGGGAGGAAGAAAAGAAATACACTGCTGTTACTGTGGGAGATCTTCTCTTCTAGTGATGTCAGACTTACTGAGTTTGGGTTCCTATGTAATTATGCTACTGAGATGTCCTGGTAAGACCACGGTTCTGTGAGTAAAGTACAGATCTTCTCAAGGGAGGATGAACATCCCTGGAGTTAATCACTGGAGGAAGAGGAAAGTACACAAACAAACTGGAAAGGAAAATCTGCTTCTCTGAGGGCCACCATTTGGTGGAGTTTATGTTTGTCTTCAATGCACGCCACACCCAGGTTTATTCATTAAACAACTATGTATTGAACTCTTAGTATGTGCAGACCCAGGACTGAACTCTGGGGATAGAGCAGTGAAAAAAAAAACCCTCACAGAGCTTTTGTTCTAGTTAGGAAGGCAAACAACAAACACAAAATAATAGTGATAAGGATTATGAAGACAAGAGAGTGTCTTTTGAATAGAAAATTAAGGGGAAGATATTATAACTTCACTAGGAGTCAAGGAGCTCTGGTAGCGTAGTGGTTACGAATCGGGCTGCGAACCTTAAGGTCAGCGGTTTGAAACTACCAGCTGCTC